TTGGAAGGATGAGCCTTATGTCAAACAATCCGGACTTGAAACACGATCTTTTGACTCTTTAGTCCACTGTCCTACCGACTGAATGACCTCTCTCGATTGACACCCCATTGGTTAGAAATTTCCATTGTTCTTATAATATGCATATGTTCGTTGACTTTTGGCCATGATCGTCTGTTTTTTCTGTGCCTTGTTACGCGTTTATAGTTTGATGTTTCATCTAGGTCTGCTGGTGTTCATATTCAGAGCCAAGAAGCTTTCAGACTAGCATGCCAAGGTCTAGTGCGGCCTCGAGAAGATTCGTCTGTAATTTTTTACGACATCAAATGCACTGACTTCAATCGCCCAAATTTTACGTTAGGTAAGAAAATTATTCGTAAGAATCTTTCAGCACAGAAGACTCCCTAAGAATCCTGTAAACAAATTGTCTGCGGATTTTCTGATCCAGTGATTAAAATCACCGAGTCGAGGCAAATAAGTTTTATTTGCCATAGGCTTCGTCATTAGAACATTAGGTTTCATGCTCTGTTTACGAAGGTTGTGACATGTTCGAAACGTGAGCCAAAATAAATCTTATTTATTCGCTTCGGCTTCGTGTCTTTAGTCATTGGATCAGAACCTTTCACTTTTGAAAGATTCTTCCTTTCGACATCGACAATTTGTATTAGTCGCTTGATTCCGCGAAGATTATGAAGATTTTTGGATAGGGTTTGGTACCGGGATTTATCGAGTTACAGGAACGATTTATGTGATTTCTTATTAGCAGCACGAACTTCGGTTTAACGTAAACGTAGCTAGTTTAGATGACGTCCTGTCTCTTGAAGTAAGGTATTTGCCATACTTCAGTGTTTATGCGGTAGCATATAAAGAGTGCCAACTCTGAAAGCATTGCACTGTGCGAGAGCTTGTTGTAGCGAATAAAATAATTGAGATATGTCCGACAGTGCAGTGGTAGCTTCCTTAAATGCTCCATACCTAGGCAACTAGGAGCAAGAGGCGGTGCTGTACGCTGTGAAGCCTTGTCTTAGAGAATTTGTGCGTTTTCTGGAGGCGAAGTTGTCGTACGTATATCACCGGCGTGATAATCATTATCTTTGTTTTAGTGAAACCCTTTTGGCTTGAGAATTTTTATTTTAAAATAGCGAAAGTTCGTTAATCAGTGTCTGACCCGTATGATGACCATAGCCGTTGTTGTTGGAAACGTCAGCTCTTCAGTGAGTTTGTTTGCTTTCCGGATTATGCCTATAATCCGTTTTATTATCGCCGGCAGTGAACAGGCATTCACTTTTTATGTCAGTCACTCCACTAGTATGGTCGAAGTCTGATATGATCTTCCCTGAGCTAGAGTTACTTTGCCAGATGCCTTTGATGCGCTGTGGGAATTTCTTTTTCTTAGGTCGTTATCCTTTCTTAGTGTAAAAATGCAAATACATTTTATATTTGCAAAATGGCTTGCACTTATAAGTTGCCTGCAATCACTAGCCGCTGACTGATACTCGAGCCTTATTCGAATAAACCAGTTCTAGTCGAACTACAGCGTTAATAGAATTATCAAGAACACCCATTAAAGAAGGAATCTTTCCACTCTCGGATTATAATATCTGGCGATACCATCGGCGGTTCTGACACTCTAAATGAAAAATCCTTATCATCACAGATAAAGTGGAGCTTTAAATTTAAACAGCTTAAATTGGAACGTTTCGTATTGGGTCTGATTACTGAAGCTCTTTGAGTCTCAGGATGTACTGTAACATCGGTCGCTAGTTTTCTGTCCCTTAGAAGGCGGTTGTTGCATAGCCGAGACGATGATAACTTGTGTGATAAAAGTTCGTAACCTCTGCTTTTTTCCTGTCCTTCAGACTGGTTGAATCGGAAATTTAGAAGGTTTAAATTGGAACGTATGCCAAAAATATACCTCAGTATGCATTTGCTAACCAAGTGCTAGTTTTAATACTGCCGGAAGGAATAGCGTTCTTCCGTCACTTCTCCGGATTTACGCGGCGTATCTCACCGTCCCGTTGCTAAGTTGTATCAGAAACCGTTTATGCGAACCACTACCTATGCTTCATGGTTTTTTAGCACCTGTAGTGTATGGACGCAAGAGGCAATTAATTGTTGGCTCCAATTAGCGCTTGTTCGAACAGAGACAAATAAGTCCTTAGGCACATATACCAAAATCCATTAACATACCGTAATACTAAATTTATCCATTGAATGCGATTTGTTCTTAGCCGTTCGCTGCGTCAATGAAAGCGTGAAAAGTCTGTGCACGCTGGTTCACG